TAAAACGTGCCATAATCCTTTCATCTTAAGCTCTAGCTCACTGCCACTGAAAATTGGATGCCGCCGTCACTGAGATTCCAGCACTCGATTCTGGAAACGTGTGATTTTTGTTTCCAGTGGTGATTTCTGTGAAGTGCTCAGATGTGATTTGAATTCCAAAATTCCTTTTATACCAAATGATGTGCCGAACGAGCTCACTATGTTCATAGGCACCTGACTGCGATCAGGGTGCTAGAAATCACGCTGCAGTTATGTGCTAATCTATTTCGGTGAAATTCTGCTTCTCTGGAGTTCACAAATGATGTTTTCTACTCGTTTTTTCGAAAATGCTCAAAAATGGAATTTGGCCCCATAACACGCAACGCTCTCCTAGACTGCCCTATCAGTGCGGCTGGCTCCCGGGCTTACGTCGAAATTAGAGTTTAGTCCCTTCTAGAAATCTATAAAGGATCCTAAATACACGAACTAACGAAGATTTTCAGCAATTGTAAGAAAGCTATCATGTGCCATATTCCTAGCCTGGTTCACGATGAACGCCTTCTGCGGAAGATCTTTTCACGAATGAAGAACGATAAAGCGACTTTTTGCACGTTCCGTCATGATTTGAGAAAGATAATGGAAAATTTCTTTACAAATGCTTCTCATTCAACAATCTTCCTTCCGAATTGTGAAATCCCCGTTGGAGAAATCCGCCGGAAACTGATCGTTCCGAAGTTTGAATTCCTATGAAAGTCATTAGTTGAGGCGCAGATCCTTGATCTAGCCCGCTGACAGTATAACCGATTTCTTTTGAACTGGGAGGCAACGTTTAAACAGATATTTGTAAACAGACTTCACTATATTCAAGGCAGAGCACCAGAATGAACGATTAGTACAAGAGAAAGAAGCGTATAGAAGCTCTCTCTTTGCTTTTCTAATCTATGGTAGAGTAACAGCGTCTTATACTTTTCTTCACGTTACCATCCGTTTTTGAAAACGCTTGCAAAACTATGATAGGTCTGCTGATAGCTTTAAATCATGTAGTTAAAATTAATTGAGTAGGTAGACCTCTGTACGTCCGTATAAAAAAAAAACAACTGAGCGGTAAATTTACAGTTAAACAGTGACTTGAGGGAGAAGATTTTGAAGTAAAAGTCACTACCATCGCACAGGAGTCCAAAAGATCAGCGCATAAAACTCTTAAAGCGTTTAAGAGAAGTTGTAAAACAATCCATAAATGAACCACAAGGAAGAGCGCCTTGTGATCAGGCGTGACCCAGCGCCCTACCTCAGGCTGATTTTTAACCTGCTCCATGCACATTCCTCACCCACGTAGACTCTATGCGGCTGGTCTCCACCATATAACGGACAAGGTTACAAAGAACAAGATAGTGTGCCCAACGGCTATTTTTGATCTCCAGGTCGTTCCCATTAACGGGTGATTGCAAATGGTACCGCTAGGGTAAGAAATTGGACGATTGAAAAGAATTGCAAGGGCACCAGTGCTGTAGTGGGCAACACGTAAGTCCCCGAAAAGGGTACCTGGGAGTTTGGGTCTGGCCTGGAGTCAAAGTTTTGCAAAACCTCAACGTCAGAGTGGTGAGTGTTTAAAAGACAATGTTTACTATGTGAATCAAAAATTATTTATTAAGTTTTATCTAGTGAAGTTGTTAAAGTGTTCGGCTGGGTAGATTAGATGTCAATTTGGCTTTTGCAGGCTCTGATGAATGCGAAATCGCCGAAAAGATCGCTCTTGTTGATAAATAAATACTGTAAAAACAACGTCGTGTTTACTCATCAAGAAAACAATGGCTTATTTATTGCTTCCTATTCCAGCTGATCGTCGCAGTTGAAAAATAACCAGTGTGCATTGCAAAAAGGGCGTGTTTAGCTCAGTGGTCGGATGCGCTCTGCAGCACACATTTGTAATCGATCCTCCCGCTCGTGGCCAACGAAGCCTTCCATCCCTCCGGGGTCGACAAATTGGTACTAGACTTGTTTGGGAGGATAGCAGCACTGGCTCGGTACATCTGTAGGCCACCGCGAGTCATTGTAAAGCCCAGATATGCATTCAATCACCTCCAAGCGATGCTGAATGAAGTCGAATGCATGGCGTAACCCTCTTCTAGCACGGAACGCTGGAACGTTCATGATATAATAACTTGGATAGGCTCTAACATTACTCTTTTCGAGCATCGGTAGCATCGGTATTGGTTTCGAGCAAGGTATTCCACCTCGCGACTGCGATTCTTACGGAACGCTTGTGATTAATAATTACTATTAAATGCGGCGAATCTTGACTCGTTCGGAGTAGATGAAATGTTATGGTTATGGGGTTATGTAAATGTTATTTCTTTCTCGACTTTTGCAAGAATATATAGTGGTAATTGACGCTTTTTTCATATCAAATCCGTAAGCTGTTCACTTATTCTCCGATCAAATGACCACTCCTGATTTTTGCAGAGTGATCGAAGTGGAAATCAGCTACAACCACGTAGGAAACCGTCACGACATACGGCGTTACATGGAATTCGAATCGACGTAGTACAAAACGAAATCAACACATGAAACATTTAGTGAACCCCTGCAATTCACCACACTCTGTCATTCACCCACCTGTCCATTCACACGTTTAATAATTGACTCATCCAACCATTCGCCTTTATCAAGACTACATCGTTTCACGAAAACTGAACAGATTCTTCCGAGAAGTAATGGTGCCCTACGGTCTTATCAACTGTTTCGTAACATTTGACGCAGAGCTCCCGGCAAGTCACACTAAATGCAAAATGAACTATACAGCCAAGATCGACAGCTTATCGATTCCTGAAGGTATCCTGCAATATGAATTGCTATTAAAGACAACATTCGGCGTGGCTTCAACTGAAGCATTTTTTCCTGAATAAAATTCTTTCTTAAACCGCAGCTTCCCAACGGTTTATCACCTCATCGTGGCTGGGGGTGTTCCTGAATGTCGGACTGCGATCTGCAGCAGGGTGTTCATCCCCTCGGCAGGATCTCCCAAGCTGAGAAGGAGTCCGGCGTTTCCATCAGGAAACGTAGCTAAGAGTAGCCCAATACCAGGATCCACCACCGTCCTGGTATCAAACTCGCATGGTGGCAAATCTCCTTCTGATCCACAAGGGCTGCGACTGCCTGTCGTGGTGACGACCTGGGGCAGACTTTGGCCATGCTGACTTCGGGACTCCGGGGAACTATAATCGCTTAACCAGCAAATCTCCGAAGAATGGAGATTATGCTGGGGCCCGCACAATCAATGAGGACGGGCCATTCAAGTATCGAGCATCAAGTAGTAAAAAGGCATAATAATTGCTGGCTATTATCCACTCACTAACTCGAAGACTCTGGCGTCGCTGAGAAGCGTGCACGTTGCCAAGCAATTTTCACTTGATTCGTGAACTGCTATTTGGGCAAGAATTTTTTCTGGACTCAGGAAATCATATTTGCACTTAGATATTTACAAGTTATCACCACAGATGAATAGATAGCATTGTTTGTGAATTGGAAGAAGATTTGCTATCTGACAATTAGTTTGCTGCCGTAATGGCGATGCTTCCATCGCTTCGTTCATTCTCAATTAAAATTCCGGTTGAAAGCCTTCGATGCACCGAGCTTCTTACTGGCTCGCTGAACGCTGTTAGGATTAAAAACCTTTGGGTAGCACGGATTCTGACTCCGTAACCTCGGAAATTACAATCAGGCGGTAAACACTTAGCTTTCAGTAATACAATAACTCAAGAATAATAAGAAAAAAGACGTAATAACGGTAAATGTGGAATGGAAACGATAATAATAAAGACAGTAAAAGTAGTATTAATGAAGAATATCTTAAACAACTATCATTAATACTATAATTTTTATTCACCTCTATTAAAACTGCTGCTGTCAATTAATATTATAGAGATAGAAAGCAACCGGAGTTTCTTTCTTCTTCCTTGCTGTATTCCAGGGTTTTTGCAAGCGATTTAATTTACAGCATCTAACACGTCATTAACTACTAAGTGGTGAATTCCACAAAAGTTGCAATAGTCAAATCGCATCTTCAAGTAAATGAATAAAAGCCTTTAGCGGTAACCACTTCTCCAAAAGAAGACCACGTTGTCGACACTGCTCAGCTTTTATACAGGTGATGGATACAACGCTTATTTGATTTATACTACGACTATCGTAGATTTCTAAAATATCAAATCAGCGTTTTTTATCCTCCCAGACATAACTGGTATTAATCTGTTCAATTTGACCTGATGGAAGGCATGGCTTACTAGGGTCACGGGGTGGAACCAACAATCTTTGCGTTTCAATCTGTGTGTTGCAGGATAAATTTAATCACTGTGCTTCAAGCGCTACGTTGTCGAGCAGTGGCTTCTAATCAACGTAATTAACAGACGAATTATCTTATTACCTCTTTCCTCTACTAGAGAAGAAATTCATGTCTCTTCCTTTAACCAACATTTCTCATGTGAAGTGGAAAAGTACAAAACTTCTTTATTAAACGAATGTCTCAGAGAAAGCGACTCGTCTCGACACGATTCAAAATAACGATTTTCGGATGTTCGTGATCGCAGTAACTGGAAAATAGTGCAAAAGTCCTTTACGATCAATCAGTATTCTAAGAAAAATACTGAAGAATTAACATTAATTTTATATAATGATAATTCTATACCGATTTAGTAGGCTTTTGCGACGTCTCCAAAATGTCGGTAATGTCAATGTCCGAATCATCACTGAGCGAATCTTTTACGACCTCCTTTGTCCCGTCGTTCGGATCACCGTTAATATCAGTGTGCTGAATATGATTATAACTATAACAATCTGCAGACAACTGCATCATCTGCTATTATTACCTGGCCTGATTTGAATGACAGCGGAATATCTTTTAGTACTTGTACCCCTCTCAATACAGGAAAATTTTCACCTCGCTCTAATGTAGAGTGTTTAGTAGATTGCAATTCGGAAGCTGTGCTTGGACGCACTGAAAAAAGCGTTAATTTCATTAGCCGTTTTCCTTTTCGTTTTCCTTCATTTTATTTGATGAAAAAAACTAGTGATCACAGGCAGTTGATTAAGTGGTTAGTGGTTCCAGAAGCGTGTAAAATGAAAGGTAATAGCAATTGGGGAAAATAGCGGATACGCCCACAGAACGGTGGAATGTGAAGAAAAGATACCTATCGATCAGTTAAACATTGTACCTTTGCCGTCAATGCGATGATCTTTGTCCATTATGGCAATGTTTCGTAATGATGGGCGCGAATTGGAAGTGGTGACACGATGAGTAGAATTGTTCGAACTGCTTGGTACTTTATTCTCACCAGCTTCTTTAACAGTATCACCGCAATGTTTCTTTTGTTGTGAATTGTCTCCTGAAGTCAATAATCAAATATTCGCATTCGAGAAATTACCCTATAGAGTAGATATCCATGCGAATGATCGATATTTTACTTCATCTTCATGGCGTTTTTAGGTAGAAAATAGTTAACTTGTCAGTTGAACGTCTTCCAGATCGAACGACCAGAACAAAAGCATAGGAAATGACTTCTGCACGTTGCGGCACTTCGACTAAGTTGAGTCATCAAGATATTTCGACCTCATCATATTAAAAATGCTTTTTGAACAGAATTCATTGAAGCCAAACATTAAGAAATACTTGTTTCGGGTTCCTCATTACTCGTTTCCTGCTCTTTAACCTCTATAAACGAAGATGCGGCCGGCGGCACCGCACTACCAATTTGACTTCGACAAAGATCTGCAAGAGAACTGCTGATTCTTAAAACTATCCGTGCGCCATCATTGCAAACTACCACAAAACCTTGGCGGGAAAATGGCTATGATTAGCAAAATGTCATTTACAGTGTATATTTAGTAATGTTACGCAGAATATCACTATTTAATTCAGAAGCCCAGCTTAGAGGAGAAGTCTGCTGCCTTGGGTGCAAAGAATTAGGATTAACCCAGAACGACGAACGCAGAAGTACATCCTAATCAAAAAAGGAGCAAACTGTGCAGTGGATTGTGTTAATAAGGAGAATTATTTTCCTAAGTATCAAAGGAAGTCAGTACATCTGCAGTAATTCACTAGTACTCGATTACATAATAGTTTATCACTTCAGCGCTCCAAAATAGTGAAGACAAGGGCAGATAATAGAGCCTATATATAAGATCTTAGAGACTCCTTCACATCAATATCCATTATTATGGAATCATTTTATGGAAGAAATTATCTCACCTTCAAGAGTAATTATCCTGGTTTTTGCCGTATCCAATTCTTTTACAAGCTCTGAAATTCGAATGTCCTTTTTCATGTCCGCAGCCGTCATTTGCTCCACCTTCATACGTAAGCCACTCAAATCAGCATTCTGAAATAAAATTTTACGGAGGAAGGTCATAGCCAACTAGGTAGGATTAATTCAATATTTAGTTTTTTTGTAGTCAGCCGATTTTCATTTCATTCATTTTTTAATCCCACGTAGACTTTACGAGATCATTCCCAAAAACCACAGTTTGATAATACAATAGTAACAAGAGCACATTGACAGGTGAGTTGAACCGTTCTATGAAGTGTCAACATAAAACACGCACGATGGTCTAGTGTATCACTGAACTACAGAGTTTCATCGCGAACTTCTTGAATGTACCTGTTTCGCCACTGTGTCTAACAACGCTTTACTTTCCATTTGGCACAGGTCGGTGTTTTTCGATAGCAAGGCTGAAGCAGCCGTCCCGTTTGGCACCTTAATCACAATGAATTTGGAATGAATTGATCCTGTTCCATGTACTGTTTAGTATTTTTGACGCTAGCGATGCCACAAATGTCTCTTTTTGAAATATTTCAAAGCTACCTGGTAATCATTTACCGAAATCAAGAATCTTTCTTTTATAGAAGCGCTATTTGAGTGATAACATAGTTAATGGAACAGTGACCCCAATAACGACTGCTTTTGGCATCATCTGGTATGGATGGTTTCTGTGTAAATCACCAACTTCCGGACAGGCGATGGTGCATTGTTGACGCAGCCAGCATACTTCCGTTGATAAATCATGATTTCGAAGCTCAAGCTTTCGAATCTGAAAGACTTTTAGATGAAACTTTTTTGGACGTCAACCTGTAAACATCGTTAATAAACGATAAAGAACAATGATTTGACGCTAGTAAATCGCGTAGGGAATCGCAATACATTCGGCTCAATTCAGGGTCGCAGAGGTGAGTGAACGGCACACCTGACCTATACAATGAAAAGCGATGGTCTATCGAAATGTCAATGTAGTGTTTCTATACAAAGACAAGTAGAGTAATAATTTGCTGACTGTGACTGTGCAAACACTGAGGGGTCGGTTTTTCCGTGGTACGAATTCGACCAAACACCCATTTGTGTATTGTAAGGAACTCCTATCTGAACACTAGGTTACACTTATATCAACTGCATCATCCTGTTGTCCCAACCATTATCGGGAAACCCGAGTGGGCGCCAGTGAAAAACTCTGACCATCGGGTAGTTAGTCTTTCTACTATACTTTTGTTTAGATTGTTCAGCTTAGACGAGATTGTTATATAAAACCTTTACTTGGTCAACATTTTGACATCTTCGTCTTCTTCTGGTCCAGTGATCCGAGTCGATGACCCACTGCAGTCATTGCTCGCGTTATGGGTCTGCACAGTTTTATCGAGTCGAATCTTTCTGAGAAGAGCACCACTCAAATGAATTAAGCTTATTCGCAGGCTTCCTACTACACTGGGTGGTCGTTGGCTGATTGTCGTCTGATAATGATATCTTTTCATGGCGTCAACTCATCCTGTAGCAGTCGTTAATAGAATAGTTAACACATAGCAAAATAATGTTTTACTAAACCGAAGACATTGTTTAACGGGCACCGGAGAGGTAGATTACTTCACTCGAGCGGTGATCCCCTCAGGAAGATTTTACCTGATACGACTGCGAAGGCTCACAACGCGAGTACGAACGACTGTGGATCACCAGTGCGGATCATCGGCTCTGGAGGAGAAGAAGACGCCGAAACATTGGCCATATAAAGTGTTTGCTAATCACTCTTTAAACGTCGATATTAACATAGCTACAGTATGGTGATATTTCTGTTGCGAAGTTTTTACTTCGCTCAAGAACAATTTTTACAAACTGAGCAGAGACGCCTTGGATGCCCAGACCATCCATGGCCGCTTCGGTCTTGACTGAGCGTAAGACTAACACATATCGAACCAATATTTTTTCACTCATAATTAATGTTATATCAAATTGCTACCAAATGGCAATGAGTATCATCAGCAACCGTCCTTTACAAAAGAGAATTGCCGAGCAAAGTTGCTCTTTTGAGAGGAGCTCTACTGAAGAGTACTGGACTTGATACGACCACGAAAACTCACAATGAGAGGAATAAGAACTGGGAACCAACGACTCAGGCCACTGGGGTTGAAAAAGGCGAAGACGTCGAAACGCTAGCTGAATAAGCCTTCTTATCAACCCCGATGTTAGCTTAATGATCCGAGAACGTATGGAGTGGATAGCTTTCTTTCAATAGATGAAAATGAGACAGAGAGGTCTCTTATATTCTCGCAACACTTCAAATGCGTTTCCAGGATCGACTTTCTATTAACCCCGGCATTGGATTATAAATTTTGTTGTTTTTCTTCGTATTTTTGTTGAGCAAACGCGAGGTGTTACTATTCTTTGTTCACGATTAAGCTGACGTTTCGGCGGATTTCGCCTTCCTCAGAGCCTGGAAAGGTCAAGTTGATAGCAATCCACTCGGCCAGACGCCTCCATAACCAAACAAAGAAACCCCAAACCAAGATTTCAATCACTTTGAACACAGCTTTGCACACTCACCGCTTTCTATGAGGTTTCCACTGAGTACGTCACGTAGAGACCAACCGCACAGAAATCACGTGGAAGTATAATGTGCCCCTCACATCAGAAAAGCAGTTTTATATACTGCCCTATATCACGCGTGATAATGAGGCATTCTTCCCTGCGGTTCATTTTCGGATTTCTGGAATTAATCCAGAGTGCC